AATAACGTGGTGTCGCAACAGAACGTGGTGTCGCAACAGAACGTGGTGTCGCAACAGAACGTGGTGTCGCAACCGAACGTGGTGTCGCAACCGAACGTGGTGTCGCAACCGAACGTGGTGTCGCAACAGAACGTGGTGTCGCAACAGAACGTGGTGTTGCAGCAGAACGTGGTGTTATTACAGAATACGGTGCTGCAACACAATACGGTAATGCATCGGAACGCGGTACTACAAGCAAGAGTGGTGCTACATATACATCAAAACGCGGAGCTGCATCACAGAGTGGCACTACGTCAGCAACAGCCACTAATATAACTAGAAGTTATGCCAGTGGTTCAGCATCCCAGGGTACTAGTGGCCAGATGGTTTCGACCAGCGAAATGACAAGTAGTTCATCTAGAACTCAACTTTCTACTGCACAAGCCAGTTCATCGATTTATTCTTCTCAGAGTTCATCAGCAAGTTCTTCGGCTTCTAGAACCTCACTGTCGACAGCTGAAACCAATACAACAAATAGAACAGGATATGCAGACGCTTCAAAAAAGTACAGGTCAGAGAGAGAACAAAATGTTGCCATGAAAGACGCTTCAACTAAGTACAGGTCAGAGAGAGAACAAAATGTTGCCATGAAAGACGCTTCAACAAAGTACAGGTCAGAGAGAGAACAAAATGTTGCCATGAAAGACGCTTCAACTAAGTACAAATCAGAGAAAGAACAAGATGCATCTAGAAAAGACAAAATGGCAATTGAGAAAGTGGAAGATGTTACAAATATAAAATCAGCAGCACAATCTAATCAAAGGAGAGGCGATGGTAAAGATGGTAAAGTTGTAGTAATCAGACAATTTACACATACGCAAGGTAAAGGATTTGTTCGAAGAACCTCAACAACTTCAATCATTTTTAAGGCAAAAAATAACCAAACTCCAACAGAAAACCAAAAGAAACAAAATAAACAAAACAATTCAAATAAAAAAACATTTGCAAAAAATGATGTAAAAAAGAACTTTTCCCAACATAACAATAACAATTTTATGGAAACAAAGTCACTGAAGGCTTTGAAAAACGCAGAAAGTAGAGAAGACTTAAAGGATGAAATGTTATCAAATGAAAATACTAGAGATCGAAGATATGTTTCTGCTACGAAATTCTCAACATTAACCGTTAACAATTTCACCAAAAAACCAAGCAAAATCTCTCCGGATGAAACAGCGGATAAAATTAAGAATAGAAGAAAATCAGCAGTTAAAGCTAAATTTGAGAGAGCAAATCGGCATAAACATAAAAATGTCATTTCACCGTTTGACGAAAAAGAAAACATAAATAGAGAAAAAAAACTAAATTTGAGTAGAAATTATCAAAATAATTCAAACAAAATTAGAAAAAACAATAAAGATAATTCCAAAAATAATTCAGCGAATAAGACCAAGTACGAACAAGTGAGACTTCCATACAGAACAAGTAGCTTGACGGGCTACAGAGTTTCCTCAACTAACACAACAAGTTATGGAACGGCTACTTATAGCAAAGCGCAGAACAAATCTGGAGCTACATACGGAT